AATAGCTATACAGTCGGCCAGTTTTGTCGCACTGCAATCGTTTCTGAAGGTCAACATCAACAGTTATAAATATTTATGATTATTTATATATGATGTTCTTTAGCGATTGGGAACACATTGAGCTAAATCATGGTTTAAGCGTGACCACAAGCATTGTTTCAACCCCCACTTTCAACTAACCAACGATGCTGTACTGGTCATAGTAAAATTACGTTTAAATATAATTTCACAATTTTCTTAGTTATAAGTTCGAGTAAAAATTATCGAAATTATACAATACATACAAATACAAATGGGTATGTACCCGATAACGTATTGTGTAATTTGTATTCTAAGAATACGCATGGATAGAAGTATATTTAGAAGGCCTATTTCCCAATTGTGGTTTGTTCAAAGTAAATACTGCGTGTTCGCAGAAGCGAGTGTACTTAAGGGTTATTTTAAGTTCAATTTATGACACCACATACATGAAAATATTAATATTGTGTTTTTCGTGCTATTATATACTGATAATGATAATATTATGTACTGATATGTATAATGATAAAATTATGTATATGTATATAAACATATTTTAATGATACCTACTCCGTTGCTAGTGGTTCCTTTTACTTTTATCCATATATGGTGGATCTTCAAGCTTATGTCTAATTAGTTTTTAAAATAAGTTTAACCATTGCAGAAATGCAACTCTGTAAACCGATATTTGCTTATTTATCTTTATATATTTCTTCGCTGTGGTTTGAACCCAACAACCACTGAGTAATGGGCGCTAGAGCTTCAGTGCCTATTAGACGATATATCGCTTATAATAAAGATAATAGATATATTACGAGACACGCGGCACGAATAGTAATTTCAAGTACACTCTCCCAGCTCAACACCCCACTTTCATTGTGTACATTTTAATTTGTTTAAAACAAATATATGCTTATACTTGGAGAAGTGATAATGAGCTCTAATAAAGTGTTAAAATTTTTTACTCGCTAAAATCACAACAAAAATTGAGCGACATTTACGTGAGATTGCGCACTTGCGATGAAAGCGAAAATAAGCGATTGTGAAATGTGCAATTGATATAATGGCGACATTAAACTATGGGGGGTAAAAAAATATGTAGATTAGTTAAAAATATATATTTTGGAAATATGTTTATAAACCTTTCGGTTTAGGCTAAGCACAGTGAAGCTAACAGAAGCAAGCTGGCGCGATAACATACGGCTTTTACTAAACTTATTTACTTTTATGCGTAATAGCACTTGTAGTAACAGAGTCGATATGAAGTCTAAATATATATACTGTAGAATTAGTGCTCCTTAATAAGTTCGTACCCAAAATAGGCAGCCATTGTTAGTTCGAGAAAATCGTTTGTTCAGTTTCTTTAAGCTTTTCATCAATATATAATTGATTTTGTAAAATTTATATTCTCGGACCTCCATTGAATTGAACTAGATATTCAAAGTGAAACGAATCAACTGCATTTTGAAAACCCCCACACCACCGCAGTGCTTATCAAAGAGCTTAGGAGTAAGTGCCATTTTGGTTTGACTTGCTACAATAAATATCTCTTTCAAAACTTTTATTTTGCGAGCAATTAATATACCCATGTTAGCAATAAACACATTATTAAACGTAAAAACCAAGCATTTATGATTTAGACGCTTTAAAATCTTCATAACCAACAGCTTACCATAGCAAGATTTAAGTCGTTCGTGTGGAACATAACCTCTAACTTTCATAAAAATTAAGCTAATTGTAGTGGCATGAACATTTCTCTTAATTATACAATGCAAATATTTTTCTATCATAAAATAACCATCGTTGCAAATAAGCAAGATAATATCTTTAAGAAAACATACAAGTACTTGTATATACTTCCACTTGATAATTTAAGTGTGCAGATAATATTGTAGATACTTAATCATATATATGTATTGTAACATATGTAATTCTAAAGTAATGGCTTTTAAATTTGTTATTATAGATATTTTATTAAAGATTTCGGCTAACTTTTTTCGATAGGAATCCTACACATGTTTGTATAAATGTATATATTTCTTTTTTAATTTGGAAATTAGCTGGTCGTGGGTTACGAACATGAAGCGAGTGAATGTCAGGCTACAACCTATCACATGTGCGGTTAGCGCATTTGTTTCAAATGTAAGCACTGCTGTGCGTAGCACACCTTACTATAAATATTCCCTCATATACATATGTATGCTATGTATGTGTATGTACTTACACACCTATTTGTTAAGATAGTTTTGATAATTTCCTCGTGCGTTTCAGCATTACTTCGTGCTTCAATTGTCTAACGGTTGCGCTCGGCTGACATTGAAATTTCAAACATTTCTCACACCATTCATTTATATAAAAGCACATGCATACATACATACGCACCTGTGTATTTATGTATAGATATCTATCTAAAATGCTCGTAGTATCGTTCCAGCAACTTTTACACATTTGAGTGGCGTCGGTGTGAGAATTGTTGGGCTGCGATTGCAAAATAATGCGTTTACATTAATGAAACACACAATTTTTGCGGTAATAAGTGTAACAACAATGAGCAGCTGAAAAATGCGGCAAATGCGCTTTGTCATACCCAATTAGGCGAAGCAGCGTGATGAGATGACACGAAATAAATACATATAACATATATATACCAACACTTATCTCAGATAGTGGGCTACTATTACCATATATATATGTACATACAAATAGGTGGCGTAATAAGTGCAGTGAAATGCCTTAAAACATTGCTCCTCATATCTCCAGTACTCAACTAATTTCGTACAAATTTTTGTGCAATCCCTGCAATTGTTCAATTGTACTGACTCAGCTGCACACATACTTGTATGCATATTTTTAATTAAAAATCGCTTTTCAGGTCAGTTTTTAACCTTTCCGTTCGCAGTCATTTGGTATGTTAATTAACACCCACTGTGCGTGTGTTGTAATAAGCGCTCGAAACTCGCTATGGGCACTTGCTTGTAGGCATTTCGAGGACATTTCAAATCTTTTTTCTGCATTGTTCAATGAACTTGAAAACGCAATATTTCTGTGTGTTGCGTCACGTTACTTGCGTCATTTACGAAATCATCGATTTTCGTTATCAGAAATCATTGCAAAGCAGGTGAATTTCTTTGAATTAGAGAAATGAACTGATAATGTAAATCAAGGTTAATTTGTGAGGTGGAAAATGTAAGGAAATTTTATGTGCGTTTTGTTATAGCAGGCAATTTTGGGCGAATATTACTTAGAAGGCTACAGGATATATGCAGACATGCCTATCTCACTTGATAAAATAGCGATTTAAATCAATTTTATATAAAATACGAATACTATTTTATTGTTCTAAATTATGAGTTTTTGTTTTTTGAATTTATACTATTTTTTCATGAAAGTATTGTACTTCTTCTATATTTTTTTTTTATTTCGTTTATAAAGGGTGTGCCAAAATTAACGCAAATTTGAAATTAAATAAAGAACACAGTTTTTAGTCTTTCGCTTGTCACTTTGTTATTGAAACATAAAATAGATAGGATATGGTTATTTATGAAATAACACATCGGGCAGATGGTCTCCACGGCTTTCCATACACATACGCACTCGTTTGTTGAAATTTTCCAGAACTATTCTGCATAAATATAGCTGAATTTCATTGATGCAATACACGACCTGTATGACATGTGACACCGTCTTGTTGAAACCACATATTGGCCACATCAATCGTTATTGTCATTTAAACGACTTGTTTTTGGTAGTCCAGTCTGTTTGGCATCTCCAACGCATCCTGTCTCCCGAAAATTTTCAATTAATCGCTGCACAGTTGACGAAGTTAAAACACTATTTCGACCATATTTTGTATGAAAAATTTCGAGCTTTCATGATTTTTGAAATATTGTACAATAATGAAGAGGCGTTGCTCTATCGTGTAACGCGCCATTTTTACTAAGCCTATGCTGTTAGCTGTTGTTTTGTTTTTTTTTTGTTGTTCACACTTTACTACATAAATGGCGTTAAATTTAAATCTTGCGTTAATTTTGGAACACCTTGTATAACGTTTTTTTTTTTTTTTTAATATTTTCTAGTATTATTATAACTTTAATAATTTATTGCTTTTTGAATTTCCTACAAGCTCTGCTTGCCCTTTAAATACTTAACTATACCTACAAATATACATATGTATAAACATACATATTATATTATACATTTAGGCCCTTGTACAGTCGTTCGCTTGTTGTACAAGTATAAGTATTTATTTTCAAAGTCAAGTTGCGAAATGTTTTCCACACTTAAACACACATATGCTTATTTATATAAAGTTTTAATTCGAGTACGTATATATGTATGTATGTGTGAATACATGTAAATATGCATGTAGTCGTGTTCATTTGCAAATTGACTTTATCATTTTACTGCTGCACTAAATAAATAAAATCAACAAAAAGCACAACTTGTGATACGCTCACGCGCTCATTTGCGCATACGGTCAGCTCCATTACGCGAAGAGCTCGTTCGGCGTAACCCCCTTTTCCTCTGTCTCGCATCACGTAAAAACAGTGACAACAAAGCTTTTAATAACGCGCAAAAATCGTTGCGAACGTGACTACTTTAACTAGCAGAAATCGCTAGACTGCCGGTTGCCCATTTGAGCAACGTCGTGCTGCTATGGTGTTAGTTCGACTTATTCGTAGAACAATTTTATGACGAACTTTGACTAGACGATTATAATGTAAGGAAATACCAGTTCTCGTACTCAGTCGGCGAGTTTATTATATTTTTTTTTAAATATTTATTAACGATTTTAAAAGTTTATGATCGCACACACACCTTGGAAATTAAAAATAAACTACTGTATTTGTTCTAAAATTTCAGGCGTATGTATAGTATATATATTTGAAGAATACAACGTAAAATTTAATTAAAATTAAAGTAAAAGTAGAATTTAATTATATTTAAAATTTAAATTTGAGAGAAAAATTAAATATTTTCAGAGTTACACGCGATATTTGACGGCGCTAAAAGAAAAAGGTTCCTCACTGCTGCAGTGAATCCGTCCTGCTCCGAGGATGAAACCTAAACACAATTCTCTACTAGAAGATATTGTTCGCACAATGAACTACGGTTGAAAAAAAATCAAAAATTGTCGAATTACTGGCGTTTTTTAAGTTGAATTTTAATTAAAATTTTGGTCGTTTCTAACTTGTAAAATTTTTAATTTTTGATCAGCTCAGAAAACTGGACAGAACATCCAAAAAAAATTTGATAGTGATTTGAGCATTTTTACTCATTGTAAACACTGAAGCAAATTTGAAAAATGTAGTTTGGAGAAAAATGCGCTCGAGAATAAATTGATAGAGCTGATTGAACTTTACGGCTACAATTAAGAAGGCTGTAACTCAATAACTATTTGTGATATCGTTTTAAAATTTTAATATGTTATTTTCAAAGGTATAACCTATCGAAAATCGACTTATTTGTAATTTTACTCTAGGTATGCTCTTTAATTGGTTGCCTCTAGCGTATGACAGCAAAGAGTTTACGGAATTACACTTTGTGCTTGCTCGGTGTCATCGTAATCATATCGGGTAACTCATGTGGACAAGCCAACAGCTTGCGCCCTTCACAGCCACTCTAGCAAGACGTTTGCTATTAGTGAGCGACTGTTAGCGTGTACGAACACCACCCGTTGCGGCAGCTTATTGCTTTGCGCTGGCGAATTGTGAAATTATTGTGCGAAATTCAATATATACAATAATTGCAAGGTATTTTAATCAAAACACACATTTTTCCTAATAACATGACTTTTCTGAAATGCTTTTAATGTGAATTGTACTTTTTTACTATCCGATAGATGTATGTACAAGTATATGTACATATGTTTGTAAACTAAATTAATTGTAGACAAATTTAATTTTTTTATATTCTTCAAAGGAAACCTCACTCATTTCATCAATTATTATTATCATTAGAATATAGATTGATTTCGAGAGTCTAGATAATTGCCATACTCCGTGTTGGTAATCTTCCTCAATTTCAATGAATTGTAAATATATTATGTATTTGGTTCCAAGCGCATATATACTTTCTACAATATATTTTTAGATACTTTCTAAAGCACAGACAGAATTGTTGCTTTGTTGACGTCCCTGAGAAAATTTCCGTCAGGAATGCGAAAAATATGAAATTTCTGACAATGTAATGGAAAATACCATCAGCAAACGTTCTTCTCTTTGAATCAACAAATCAAAGTTAATACCAAACCATTCTTATATAATACTACCTCATACGATACAGCACGTATCTGTTTGGAAATAAAAATGCATATATTTAAAATCCGCCTGAGATCAAATTCAAACCTTTTATTTCTTAATTTTTGAATTTCAATTTATGGCTTTTGTTGCTTCTTTGTCCATCAATATTTTTCATTTTTTTTTTGGATTCTTTGTATTTTTGTTTTAATATTTTCTTTATAACACATCTCATACAAATTAAAACAAACCTTTATAAACAACATAATTAAATAATTCAGTAGCTATAATTCATATTAGCTCAGAAAATATAAGGCTACAAATTAACCAATATAGCATTTTTGCAAAATAAATTTTCTCACACTTACATTATATTGCTAGAATAATTGTACATTTCGGTTTAGGAGAAATAAAAACTCAACAACAATCAAGAATTCGAGTTCTTCAGTAAATTCACTGCTACTACATACATAAAGGCAGTTTAGAGTTACTTTTCGATATTTACATAAATCACTTTGAATGAAAGAAATACTAAGTATTTAATTTATAAAAAAAAAATGGAAGGCGGGTGATGTGAGGAACAATAATAAAAAATTTCAACGTTGTAACGTAACAATTGCCAAAGTAAAAGCTTAAACGCCTCAGCGAAACGCTTGCTACCACAAGAGGCCCAGCCAGCGCCTCGGTGCGTGTGTCTTCCAAACTTCAAACGTTCATGGTGGCCGCGCGCAAATAGTACCAATGCTGTCGCGGCCAGCTGAGTTGTTTGCCTTAGCGCCGGCAAACAACTGACTGCTTCCAGTGCAGAAACAACGTTGACAAACAAACATTGTGATGACAAACGACGACAACAAACCACAATGTGAAAAAATGTTTATGCCTGCATGTGTGTGTAATTGTTGCTGCGGTGGAGGAAGGAGGAGTGGTATGGCGAAATCATACAGCGCCTGCGCTTAGATATCCTGCTACCGCCGACCACCACAATGTTCACGACCATGACTTGCCGACCACTAACGTTGCAATTGCCGCTTTTGTTATCGTCGACATCATATATAATACACACGCGTGTGTAATCAGCTCATTTCGACGTCGTTATCCACATCAATTGCGCGCTGGCTATTGCCTGCCGTTGTATGTGGTCGCGAATAATTTATCGGCTCCGTATTACTAATATCACAGTCGTCAGCGTCTTCTTGACAGTCTTCAGTAACAAAGTGGTTTGCGGAAGCAATATGACTATTGTCCACTTGGCAGTCTTTAGTGAAATGCATTTGTTGTTCTCCCTCCACACGTGGTGTTTGTTCCATTACATCGGTGTCATCATCACTTTCCATTTCCAAATCATCCAAATTCGTATCGGCCGAGAGGTAGACGTAATCATGTGGTTTCTGTTGCTTCAGCCACGGCGTGATAAATACCTCATCGGCTTGCAAACGTTCTTTGTAATCCTTACAAAGCAGCAACAAAAGCAGCCAACGCACCGGTCGCGGTAAACAGGAAGGTATTTGCACCTGACCATGCCGGATGATCGTTATCAGATTGCAGTTGGGTCTCTCATAGAACGGATATTGGCCAACAAGCATTGTATACAGTATAACGCCCAGCGACCAGATATCGGCCGGCTTGCCTTGGTATGTGGGATTGGGACACAGTAATTCGGGTGCAGTGTAGAGCGGGCAGCCAATCTTGTCGCTCAATGTGTCATCCGCGGGATCGTTGAGTATCATAGAGCCCTCCAACGATTCATACTGAATTTTCGTTCTAAAATAAGAGCAAGAAAAGAAAAAATTAATGCGGTGTTTCAATAACTGATCGACTATAAAATAATATGACTTTAAAATAAAACCGCTATTGTACGTATGTAAGAGTTACAACACGAAAATTCCCACTATAATGCAACAGCAAAATTGCTGACCCAACAATAATTAATGCTTTTTGTGCAATTGCACACATATGAAAGCGTTGAATACATAATTCAATGTCGGCCGGAATCGAACGCGCGATCATATGTAATTGAGTAATCTACAATAACAACGCCAAAAGCTAAGTAAACGAATTAAACATGAAAACAAATTAAAATCAATTATTCAATACAAAGTTAAGAGCGCACCGTGGAATCAAGCAACGCAAAAAGCCGCACTACCCGTGTAGGCCTCTGTGACTAGCAGCAATCTAGTGCGTAGCGCTCGTAGCAGATAGCAAATAGCAGATATGGAGCAACAGATCGCCATTATTGCGTTCACTGATCTTTCAACTGATCGTCAATAGTCAAATATGTAATGAAGCAAGCATTTCGAATAGCTGCTCATATGCTGCACACAATGTGTGAAGGGTTTGGCTTTATATGGACATCAAATGGAAGCGGGTGACGGCGGCGGCGCTGCTGATCGCTTAACGCCACGCACGCTGTTATTGCTGAACAACAGCAATAAACGCAAAGGCAGCACAACAAGCATATATGATTGTGACTGTGAAATAATTGCAACAAAAATGACGACAAAACGCCAAAGTAATGAGCGAGCTCACGGAGTTGTGAAAACGCGACCGTCGGCTTTAAACATGTAGTTTTACTGTGCGTCAATATGTTTGCATGTAGGACTGCCGACATTGAGCAAAAGCAAATCAATCTTGATTGAAATAAGCCAATCCATTATAACGCACAACGCAAGCGATAAGTGCTAATATGACGTAAATTAATGAGCCGCATCAGCACACGTAACTGTAGCATAACGCAGCTAAAAAAAAAAGACGGAATTAATTTGTATATACAAATGAAATGAAGTAGGCGTTGGCTAAAACGAAGTTGGAACACATTTGGCCGAACTGGCGCGCATGAGAAAAAACAACTGCAATGACCCATTGACCTGAAAGCGAGTACAGTTTACGCGGTGAGCTTAAAGCGGGCGCGGCGGAAAAGTCTTACAAACAGACAACTCTGACTAAACGTCATTTATAATAGAGCAATATTAGTAGTAGAGTTAAGTAATACATGGCAGTTGAGCGCAAAAGGAGAGCGCGTAAAATGGGCTTGGTATGGCAGGCAAGCAAGAAACCAGCGCCAAAAGGAAGCTCGCCAAATTGTATTTCGCCTGTGTGTATGGCATATGTGTACATGAAAGAGGCACTGAAATCAAATAACGAAAAACCTCGTGCTGACCCTGATATTACCTCTATCTAGCAACTGTAATAGTCACAGCTCTACAAGTGGCTAATGCAATAAATTTTACAACCAATACATATGCATATGTGCGCGGCTAAAAGACAAACAGAAAAAACATGTGCGATCGTGAGAGAGCGGCGTGGTAGCGCATAGTGATCTTCACCATCTGACCTCGCTGCAATGCGTTGAAGAGAGGAAGTGGTTTCAAAAAACCGAGCGCGCATATTACACATTGTTTTGTTAATGTTTGCAATGCAATAACTTGTGGTTTTTTAAATATTGTAAAATATGAGTAATCATGTGGAGGCACGACTACACACTTTGATATCGGGCGGCGAAGAGCATAAGCCAGCCAGCGTGTTGTAAGAGACACGTGTAGAGAAGCTAAGAAATGTGTGTAAATGTTTACAATATTTTGTTTTAGTTTTTTGATTTGATTTTTCTGTAGCGCTTTTCTAGTACTATGCACGCGGAAAGCGCCAATGTATAATAATATACAATAAAAAAATAATTTGAAGGATTGCTTAACCTCACTTGTTCAAAGTTGCGTTAAATTGTTGTTATATTGCATGTTTAATTAATTTTTGTGGGATTTAAATTAAAGAAAAACACAGATGAAACGATGAGACTACAATTTGTAGATCAGAGTCAGGGTCAATTGTTATTTTTTTTTTGTGGGGCTACGAAAATTTTCAAGTTAACACGCACAAGCGAGAGAAATCATTATTTGAATACAAATTTCAAAAGGAAACGGCATGAGCAAATGTAAAATGTTACAGTTGTAGAGCTAATTTGCGGTACACGGAAAAAAATAATGAGAAAATATAATATTATGAAAATTATTTTTTTAAGTGCATAAATGTAGAAAATGAACCTTGCAGGTAAGGAAAATCATCGGAGACACGCAATTATATATGTACATATATGTATGTATGAATGTGTGTTAATATGAGAGCCAAAAATTGAATGCCGACAATGAGACAAAGGCGATGACGAATGTGCTAATAAAAATGAACTTGAAATTAGAAACGCTAAAATTTTATGTACATATGTATGACATGCGTAAGTATGTAAGCTTATTATGATTCAAGTTTACTTAGTGGTTTATAAAAAAAATATGTATAGAAAAAAAATATATAGGTATGTATAGAAAAAAAAATAATGTATAGAAAAAATAATATAAAATAAATTTAACAATATAATTAAGTTTTTATAGAAGCAAAACTTGTACTAAATCGATTACACGATATTGCGAAATGATTTCTAGAATAGCATTTCATCGACCGCTTTCAAATATACAACAAAACCCAAAGCATATATTACTAATCGTCGACGACGATCGTCAAAAACGAGATATAATCATTTCGAAAGCCTCAAACACTATGCTTGAGGCCGACAACAGTTCGATAAGGCAAACACGCAATAGCCGGTCTTATTGTTGTTAATAAAGGTGGGACTAAAGAAAGGCGAAGTTAGAGAAAATGCTTAATTTGCATAATAAAAGCAAACGGAAAATGAAAGTGGTAAATGAAAAGCCAACAAGCAGTGCGCAACACAAAAGGCAAAAAATCTAAGAACAGCTGATAAAAGATAAAGAGTGAAGACAAAGGCGGAAAACTAAGCTAAACACAAAGGTATGTGCATTAGCCGCAAAAAAAAAAAGAAGCATAAAGGTAAAAAATTTAAAACTGTAAAGAAAACTGTAACGTTGTGTTGCAAAAAACACGACGCAGATATGTAAATACGTGTGAGTGTTTGCCTAAGCGTTAAAGGATAACAATTGCTTGATCACAAAGCATGGAAATGAAAAATTCAACCCTTCTCAGGCGATGATGACTCCTTTTAAGCTTGCGTGACTTCTGTGTAACTGTTGAACAAAGCGGGCAGGACAAAAGTTGCCAAAAGCATGCTTGAACGTATAACTTTTGTTTCTGTAATATTTCCCCTGCAGATTAAAGTAAACGCCAAGTATGTACATATAGGCATATGCAGACAACGGCAGTGTGGTGCGGTGTGGTGCGATGGCAACAAAGAGAAAAACGGATTGTGGCGCAAAATATTCGCAAATTGCATGTCATGTAGTAATTGTCTGACAAGTGACAATGACAGAGTGTATTTTTAATGTGCTGCAGGTAATAAGTGTGGCTTTATGTTTCTATATAGGCTTTCCTTCAAGTGGTGTTAGTGGATTACACAGCGCCAATGAAGCATGAAAATGCAGTGCAGCAGAATGTATAATTTGCATTTGAATATTGTGTAGCAACTAATTATAATAGGAAAGCAGTAAAAATGTGTATTTAGTGCAGGAAAATGTTTCATGCTGGCTGACAGTTGGTAGAACAGGCTTGTCAAATGTTGCAAATTATGCTGATTACCAAGAGGATTACATACTTTTAAATCGCAATGTGCTAACCAAGCATAATGGATAACACTTATACAATAATATGCAGCAGTAAGCTGTATTAATAAGAAATTATTCAGCTGACAGCTGCTGCTTATTGGAGCGTGCATTAATATTTAAGAAGTGATAAAGCCGAGTGCGCTTAATCATAGTTTTCGAATAAATTTTTGCAGAAAGAAGTACACACGCCTTGAGGTATGCAACGCAATTTTTTTTAATATTTTTTTTTGCTGTAAGTACAATATATGCGCATTTATAAGTGAAATTTTTTTTATAGATTATTATTTTTTATGTTTTAAAGCAACTTGCTATTAATACTGCTGAGTCTGCTATAAGCTAATTTAAAACGACTGTTATACAAAAAGCTGCAAATTGAGTAAGAGGAAAATATAACTAATTTTATACTCATTTCATCAACTGGTGAACATTGAGACAATAATTTATTCATTCGCCACAATTTTTGTCAATCGGCTAACAACTTTGTTCTGCTCGCTACTGTTGCCACAGCACTAATGACCTCAATAACGCCTACGTCACCGCCAAACAAAAAATCGAGTAAAGTAAAAAAAAAATAAAGTAAACAACAAAGCAAACGAATGAGCTAAGAATAAGCTAAAGCAACACTAGAAACAAAACAAAAAAGTAGCAACTGTTGCGTTTGCGCTTATTACCACATGACGGCAACCGCACAACAGCAACAGCAGCAGCAAAAAGAGCAAATGCGCAATGGCAACGATGATGGTCATCACTGCTAGCGCTTGCTTGCTGCCAGCACTGACAGTGGCAGCTACACAAAACGCCAATAGCAGCAACACAAACATACACTGCTTTACATATACATATATATATACACAATATATATATATATATATTTGAGTGTGTGTAGCAACAGCGTTCAGAAGAGCGGAAAACGCTAGCAATTTACAAATTGCAATGGCAATGGCACCAAAAGTACAAAACCAGCAAGAGCAAAAACAACAGCAACAAAAAAATTAAAACGAACAAAAGAAAAAAATAATAATTGCAAAAGCAAAATAGCAAAAACATTACAACTACATACATATGTACAAGCGCATGTACGTGCCCAAGGCGGTAAAAATAGTAAAGAAAAATAAGAAATCGTTGGCAACAAGTCAAACCGATTGCGTTATTGGTGTTAGACAGCAGCAATAAAAACAAACAACTACTTGTGTGCAACGTTAATAACTAGAACAAGAATTGCGGCACTACTCGGCAATTGCAAAAATTCTTGTCGCAATAGCAGGCAGTGGTAACGTCAGCATGTTGCTTAAACATGACACAGCGGCATGGCAACAATGATTTGTAGCCAAACAAGTAGCGTGGCACGCAAAGGCACATTGTTGCTGTAATGTTAGCAACATTTTTCAATAGTTTTTGCTGCGTTTTTATTCAACGCTTTGGCATTTTTGACTTGAACAACAGATTTTGTGTAGATATGGCAACATTTGTTGTTAAAAAATATTTGTTGTAATATTATCGCTGTAAAATTGTAGCGATTTACATTGATTTTCCAAGTCATTGCAACATTAAACCAATGTAAATAATTAAATATGAACGTTAAAATTTTGTTGTAGTTAGTTTAACCAATTCACGAAATTACCACAGAGAGCGCAAACTGAGCGCTGAGCAGGCAAATGGGGGCTGAAAACGAGACAAAGAGTCGGTTTGTATTGTGTCTCAACTCCATTAGCTGAGCATTGCAATGTCTGGCCGTAAGCAATTTCGGTGAAGTCTTGTGTACATTTGACCGGTTTGCTTGCTCTTTGCCCAATGGCCGGGCTAGGAAAAGATGGTACTCGCAGTTGTGTAAATTGGTGGGTGGCTCTTTTAATTACCGGATAAGCTATAGCCACATTTATGGCATTGCAGTGAATTCACAACGTGCGAAGTGTTTCTGGAACTCGTTGGTTTGAGATTTCAAATAATTAGTTTTGAAATTTTGCGAGAAATTCATTAACATAATTAAGCAGGAAAATTTGCAATTTTTATTTTTGAGTCAGATACTTTTGTTCCTGATATTCATATAATTAAGCAGATTTTTGCAATTGTTTATCTACGTATTTCGCAATTTGATGAAATTACTTACTTATAGTAAAAAATCAGATAAGAATACTCAGCAGAGCAGTAACATATTATCTACATATTATATATCTTTTGAAATTCTTTTAGTACTACAAAAAATCTAATTATAACAACTCGACTGTCATTTTTTCAAAATTTTGTATTTCAAAATTTTCCCATAAAATCAAAAAATCTCAAATCGGCGATATTTCGAAATAATCTTGAGACACTTTGCTCACTACGTGCTCTTTTCTGCTCTCTATCGAAATAACGCTCTCGCTTAAGTGTTTGGCCCGCTTTTGATTATTTCAACAACTACTATTTCTCATCATAATTGCGGCATTTTAAAAGACCCATTAAGAGTGTGGCGCCCAAGTATGACAAAATACTTAAATATAAACATACAGTCTGCAATAAAGTGTCGTGCACAAGTTACAAGAAGTATACTAATGAATTTTTTAAGATGAATTCACCTTGTCCACTGTATGTGCACACTTTTGTCGCCATATATATATATATATACATATGTATATGGATGTGTGTAACTCAGAAATTGCGTAGCCGCGCTCCCAGCGCTGTTGAGGGCACACCTTGCTTGCTCGACTGGATTGCATACAAACATACATACATAGATAGATATAGATGTGTAAAAGCGCCAATTATGAGCAGACAGATGGGTTTGGAAACATTTTCGATTGTCGGCCATGACTAGTAAAGCAAACTGGCTTTCAATTTAAAAGAGAGAACATACAAGTTTACATTTTTTTTAGTACAAAAAGTTTTAATCTTGTGCAATTTCGGCGTTTTCCGCAAGTTTTAGATTTTTGTTATGGCATACGCATATCACACGTGCGCGCCAAAGCAGCTCGAACATTGATTATGCGTAGTCACTCGCTTTGTATAAGCCAACAGGCTGGTAAATGGCCTCCACGCTCAACGCTAGGCATTGCAGCGCCCCAAACTGCTGTTGCTGCAATACTGCCAGACAACGCATTGCACCACACATTGAGTGTGCACCCCACGCTCTCTTCGCTTAATGAGACTTTTAAACGCAAGCGCTGCGCCCATCACCTTCTCCACCACCACTTCCCCCAACATATTCAATGTTATTGCGAATGCGTGTGAGTTGTTCGGTCTGCAATCGCAATCGCGTTTGGAGCAACAAGTGAGCGTTCGGCAAAGTTTAGTGCGGCCAAGTCAAGTTTGCTCGCAATAATGGCAATAACGAGTTTTTACGGTGCTAAGTTGTGTGGATTTCGACTTTTCGTTTCGTTGTGCATAAATGCGGCTTGCAAATTATTTTTGCCTATGTGCATATGTTTTTTCTGAGACTGAAGGTTTTCACCTCGTAATCGAAAAATACGAATAAATGAGCTGCTTTGCTGTGGGAGCATCTCGTCGCTACAGCGATCATGACGAGCTCTCTCACATGTTGGCTAGCCACTCTATGGTTTACAATACCTTGGTAAGAATTTGTGAAAAGGAAACAGAGCAAACGAGCTAATAAACTGTACAATCGGCATAACTGGGTGGTGGGAGGGTGTGTAGTTCAAAGGAGAGGTGTTAAATAAAAGAACACAAACCCAAATTGAGGTTTGGCAATATTTTTCAATTTTGTTTAATTCTTCGAACACTTTGGTAGTTTGATATTTGTAGAAATTTGTATTTTTTTCAGATGATAACAATTCAGTTGAAAGCATTAAGTAAGTTGTGTGACATTTATTTTTATTTAGACAAAACTATAATTCCCTATTAAACGTGAATTTTACTTTTCTAGCCTTAATTTGCTATCAAAATAGAGCATGAAATTTAGCTTACCTCGCTTCGTCAATGAAGAAGAAACGTTTCAGTTTCAGATCACGCAATATAACGCCCTTCTGGTGGCATAAACGCACAGTCTCTGCGATTTGATGAAACAGTGCTTTAGCCTCCTTTTCGTGCAGTCGTCTCTTATTCCTTACGTATGTATGCAGATCCTCATATACACCTTCTGCACCTTCGTGCGCTTTTGGTGGTGGGATTATCAGATACGAACGATTTGCATCCAATGGCACAATTTCGTGAATATCCCGTATCAAGGTATGTCCATACAAAGAGCTGCGCGCTATTTCACCTGCCGTCTTGATGTCATAGTAAGCGCGTTGCACCTTGTCATGTGGCTCGTTGATAATCTTGCAGATATATTCGGTTTCCGTGAACACATCTGTACACCTGAGGCTAGACGCCTTGAGATCGATAAGATGACGATAAGAGGCGGGAGTTCTTGCAGCAACAGCTGGTGATAGATAGCACAATTGTGTGCTTATTAGGAACCGATTTTTAACCACTTTCACAGTCTCCTCCTCTCGGCTTTGCTCCGGGCGTAGAGCATGCATCTCACAAAGTGAGCTGGGTGTGCCAAGCTTTTCGCGTATACGCTCTAACACACGAGAATCCGCCAGCGATTTCTTTGGAGTACAAAAGTGTTCATAGCTGTCATGGCCTCTATGCAAGCGCGGTGTGGTTGCAGGCGAACAAGGACTGTTTGGCGCTATGACAACATCCATGGATTCGGAGCTGAGGGAGGATGCAGGTGATGGTGGCGAGTAATTTATTACATTTAGGTGACTTTCGTTACTTTGCCTTCGAACACTATTGATGGTATCCATTATGATATGAATTCTTGGTTTTTAAAATTCTTTAATAAAAGTCACAGTTCAATTTTGAGTTATACAGCACTTATCACAGTGGAGTTTATAAGTTCTTTTTTCAGTTGTGTACAGATTCACGCTTATCACTTTCTTATTCTTTATTAAACAGCTTTTCTTGTTTACTTCTTCACTTAACGCCTTCTTTACGAATTCCTATATACACAACATTTTTATTTTTATGCTTTTACTTTGGCGATTCACTTTTCGAGTTACTGCATGAGTTACCAACTCACTTCAAAATATTATAGTTTTCAATTAATTAAGCAGTTTCAGCAATTATAGTATTACACACGTGTATATGCAGGCAGAAACATATAAAATTATATCTTTTAGTACTAATATAATGCCAACATAGAGATTGTTGAATTTTCTTTTAATATAAAAAATAACTGTGTTGTGTCGTTGCTCGTTTGCCAGCAAGGCTTCACACAAGTAAATATTATTTATAACTAACACGCTCACTTGCTGAAATACAACTGAATTGTTTCGCTGCCAGCAACGTATATTTGAAAATTTTTCGTCGGCGAAATCGACGGAATTGACTTTCATATATTTTTCTTTTCCATACATTTGTTTTGCTGACCTCTTCAGCTCTTTTGCTTTGGCTGCTCTGTTCGCACACGCTCTCTCTCTCTCACATCTTATGCTTCTCACATTACATTATGGTGGTACTTTTAAGCAACAGAGATGCAAAGAATCGCACTCACTCGCACTCTCTTGGTATAATTCGATATTGTAGTTGTTGTTTCTTAACACTACGTTTTTATATGGGCCTCTCACATAAATTTTTTTTTTCAAGTACACAAATTCATACAATATTTTAATTCTGGCCGTATTGTGGCTTCTCTTCTTATGCACTTTTCGGCGTTCTCTCTCTGAGTGTTGCATTTGAAAATAATTGCAACAAATTCGAATATTGAGTGTCCTAGGTTAAAGTATTATATTAAATTTTTTGATAAAACAGCTGAGTAATATAATTTCAAAATAAAATGATTTCAAAATTATTCGAAAATAGACGAAACTGTCAGAATTGTATGACATAACTTATACCGGTATTTTATAGGCACATGCAGGAGTATAATTTTGTTTTTATTAACCATGAATGGACAGAAATTTCATATAAAATGTATGTACAATAAATTGCAATAATAGGCTTTATCTAGTCTACAATTTTGTACGTAAACGTATAGGGGTACAATATGTCATCATTACACCTTCATTACCCCACGCGTCAGTTAACCTTCAAGTTTATTTTCAAGGTAAATTACAAAAACAAATCAAAAACACCTTTCGCTATAATAAAAAATATTATCGAATATCTCGAATATCAATACCTTACCAAAGCATCCCCATTCCGACAGAGAAAATGCACATTTTCATTGAGACTTTGAGGCCTCTGCATACATATTTACATACATATGTATACGTTCTCTCCAAGCTACAAATTTCGTCACATTTCAACCCTCAAAACAAGCAATCATCCGCTCGCATTGCTTTGAAATGTGAAATGTTTGTATGAGTACAGTTGACGCCGAACCTACTTAGTATGTTTATTTGTGTGCAAGAGCACGCTCTCAGGACATGTCATGGTACTGCAAATGTTTCTGCCTGCTGGTCACCACATTTCAATACTATGCTTTGTTAGCTTGCTCAGGTAAGACTTTGAGCAAAATTCCTTTGTCAACATGCGGCTGAAGCGGAGCAACATAAAAGTCGTTGGCTTGTGTTCTTACTAGTGACGAAAGTCTAGCATTTTAGCTGTAACTAAATGGTACCGCAATTGGTGTTTTTACCTAAATACTTGTGGCTATGGAATGCAGCACTAGTGTCATTTAGGTATATTATACATATTTACGTAGTCAGATGTACATATGTATATAGTGGAATTTTAATAGAGAAAATGATACACTGCTATTACTTGTATAATCACAGAAGATATAGAAATATAAATAATAATGCATAGTAGAATTTCGAATACCATAAAAAAATTATACAACGGTGAATATTGATTTGAAAAACTTTTAAGGTCACTTATTAAAACTTGGACTGAAAAAAAAAATAGTTCAAAATGATTTTAAAACATCTTTATAATGCATTAAATAATTTTAAAAGTTTTGTTAACGAAAAATTAGTTTTAGGTACCTACGATTGTAATTACCTTTGCAGGTACATATCAGTTCTTTACCATCACTATTCTTTTACCTCTCAGTCACTCATGTTCGTTTATTGTAACCACTCGAAAACTGTGTACAGTTGCGCGTGCGTAGTGCGTACATTTCAACAGTTTGATCTGTAGCCGTGTTTCGGCTTCTGTTCGAACCATTTCTATAAACAAAATTAAATGTTGAGATTCATATTGACACGAATGCAAAGCATTGAACGTCAGCAACATTGTAGCTATGACTATTTCGTTGTGGAAATTCGCTAACAGCCAGTTATCGCTCATTTCAATGAAATTGAGGATCAAAAGAAAGTTTGTGTGTAAGTATGCGGAAGAATTTTGTTAGGGTGGTTGTGTTTACATTAACAAGTAATGTTACAACTGAACTAAACGTCTATATATTTTAATAAGTTAAAATGGTTATATGGGTTATAGAGTAAAAAATGGATTAATTATTTATTGAATTATTTTATTTGCGTTAAGTATATTTTGTAGATATGTATTACTTAATAAGGTTATTTGAAAATCAGGCGTATCTTTTACACTTTTATGTTTTATTATTAGCTTAATTTAGAAAAGTTATTATGGCTTTATCGACACAATATGTGAGTGTCTGAACATTTATTGGCAAAAAGTCTGTAACTTACTTAGTAGGCAAAAATGATATTTGGTTTTACAAAAAAAATATTTTTAAGAATCACTAAATATGTAAAATTATCTTAAAACTGCCGATGGAAAAAATTATTAAAAATTCGAGTTTAAAAATCAAAATATGCATCCAACTATAGGCATACATTTGTATGTTCGTGAATTATAAAAATATATTTTTTTTTGTACAATATGCTTAAACACTATACATTGTTATTTATTATATATTTGCTAAAAGTTGTCGTAGCCCTCCAATCGCACAGAAGACTCAATAGCAAATGGCAAAAATTAACACTAGTTTGCAATACTTTGGACTTGAACGGAATACTTTCGAAATATGATGAAATACATTAGAAAAATTAGATATGCTTATATGTATATACATATGTATCTACATATGTATGTATATGTAGGTACTCAATATGAAAGTGTGTGAGAGTAAGGAACAACTGGGCTGAATAAACGTTATAATATGATATTAACCATTTCACAGCTGCTGTCATATATAGGCTTCAACAACAATTAAACGCAACAACAATCGTTGTAGCGAAAAAAAAACGATTCTTATGTACGTCTATTTTTTATTGTATATGCCACAAACAATGTGAACTTGTATATAGAACTTTTTTTACAATTGAATAATAAAAACATTTATTAAATTGTAGTATAAGGCTCAGTCTGATACTTGCTTTTCAGTGCAGAAAACAAAGAGTTAATTCAGTTTCCAACAGCTGATTCCAAATGATTTCATGGGTTAATGCAATTGTTTTGCAATATTTCACAATTTAACTTCAGTGCCGTAGAGGTGTGGGGTTCCCGCTTTAGTTCTAAATTGTACCTGGACAATTTCACCATAATTTATACTGTCACAAACAGACATATATTTTGATTCTAGAACAGCTTTAATGCCTGCTCTCAAGCACGTACTCACCAATAAAAAATAAATAAACATGAATACAACGAGAGTACAAAAATTGTAAACACCACTGTTATCATAATTTTTATAAACAAAACGCAAATCTTAAAATTCCAAAAAACAAGCTGATTCATAACTTTTGAGAACAACTCATAATTCTTAAGCTTTTTTATCATCCAAATTTGTTATAACTAACAGTAGGCGACATCCCTAGTGTTGTTCGCGAAGTTCTGAGAACATTCGCTCTTCTACTAATTGGCTAGAATAGCTGATAAGCGGAGAGCGGCGGAGTAGCGCGCTGTCAACAATAACAAAAACGATGATAAACAAAAGTCACATTGTGTTTTACATTAACAAAACATAAGCTGATGAAATCAGAGCAATTAACGATATTTGTTTATATGCCTGTTTGTTGTTGTTTTGCTATTCTCGAAGTGGTCTTTAGAAATCATATTAAAAATTACTTTCGAGTATTTGAGAGAGCGAGTAAGCAAATTTCGTTAGATACACGTCAGTCTTATTAGACTCATTGTAGCTAAGTAAATTGTATCAGCAACAAAGACGGAATTTCATAATTTTAATTCCCTTTCCGCTCATGTAAACCACAAAGTTCGCTCTAACGCACACTATTACGGTGCCAGAAACATTTCCATGCACAACTGAGGGATTTTTGATACTCATAATAATATTAACTGCCACTGCGGTTGTGGGGTACACTATGCGGGTACCCCCCAAGAATATTCATCATGCAGATCCTTTCAGGGCATCACATATAAAATCGAATTTAAGGGTTGCAAGTTGCACGTTGCACAGGTAGTTGTTAAATCACCTAACACAAGTCCTGCGCTATCGCATTGTCTATTGCGCTTCTGAAAACGCCAACCCTCTATTTAAGCCAGCTGTTATGTTGCCGCTATACTCTTATAAAGTGATTTTCGCGGTTGGTGATCGAGAACGCATCGGTGTGCATGCTGCTTGTTGGCGGTGCATTTCGATCATTGTGGGATGGTTGTGGTTGTTTACTTTATAACGTATTTTTCGAATTGTCTATAAAGTTTACCCTTTCATAAATACTCTCTTTTTATCTTGGTAGCAAGATTGTTTTTATATTACTGATTTTTTTTATATATTTTTTGAGTTGTCAAGCGTCGTCTGAGGACACAGTGATTTTAATGTTTTAGTTAAGATTTTTCACTCACAATCGAACATTGTGAAGATCTCTAAAATGAGTGTTTGTCCCAGAAAACATAGATGCTGTGCCAAAAATACTTAAGTAATACAATAATCACATATCCCCCTTGACCTTTAGCAAGAAAAGCATCACTAGAACGATCGCGGTATTATTAAGTATTCCAAAACTTAAGTAGAAAGTCCGTTAATACGCTAAAGAGTCGATGGAGGAAAATCAGTTTAAAATATAAAACATACAATTAAAGCTACTTAACCAGAAAGTTCCTCAACATATACATATGTATACAAGTATGTACATACTAATTTATATAAATTCGAATTGTCTCACTATAATTTGGCTGAAAGTTGTAAAATTGTATTAGAAAGCTAAAAAAATACCTTTACATATACACATACAAATGTACATATGCACCTATACTTACGTATGAAGTTGTGTACCGATACAATTTCAATAGACTTTTATTCATCATTCACACATTTCATTAAATTGCAAAAATATTGCTAACTTTTGTACATACTTACATATGTACATATGTGCGTATATACATAAGCTCTCAAAAGTAGTATTTCACCGAAACGCCATAGCGCAAAGATGTGAGTCAATTCGAAAAATAACCGCCACTTGTTGGCTGCGCGCAAAAATTCAATTCGAAAACCAACGTACACAGCCCCAGCAACAAAAAGCGCGCACTCACAAACTTAACAGTCCCCACAACTATACAACACAACAACCATTCACACTTACCTCACAAACACAAATTAACGGACGCCAGCAATGCGCCAACAAAAGGCTCTACGATATTTTGCAGCCGCTTGTGTGCTGCCGAGCAGAGAGCGTTAAAATTTTGTAGTTGTAACGAAAAATTTTCAAAATTTTGAATTCACGCAATCGACGTTACATTTAACCGACACTGGCCAGACGCGTTCGAAAAAAGAGCGCGCACTCATCAGCTACACGGCATTGCGGAGAAATCACAGTAATATGCCAACGCCAGCAACATTTGGCGCTCGGCTGTGTGAGCGTAAAGCTAAATATTGCCAAGATAGAGCAGTGAGTGCCCGGCAATCGGAACTGTTGGCGTGTATAGCGTTCTCCCCATGCGATCGCTGGCTCTCCAACCACCATGCTCATGAGTATGAAAGCACGCTTGCTTCAAATCTGTTTATAGTTGCACGAGATTCATAAAAAAAAATTTCAAAAAAATGCGCACTAGGAAGTAAATAAAATATACTATACAAACGTATATACTCGTAAGTTGTTTTTTTCCATATAAATGTGTGTATGTTTGATTGTATAGCTTTACAATTTCCATAAGGTTTTTTCCCGACACTGCTGTTTTTATTGGCTTGTCATAATTGTTGGAGCGTGTTGTGAGCAGATCAGGTAGCGTCCATTGACTGTTGCTCAATTAGCGCACAACTAGCCGCTTAGTTGTTGCTAAGTTCTTGAACTGTACACTTATGGTTTGCCGCCGCCTTAAAATGCTTTATTTATTTGCAGATTTCAGTAGTCATTCCCCTTGTATTGGTCAGTTGATTCTGGAAATTTAATGAGTATGGCTACCAGCACATACAGATGCACGTACCGGCTGGGTAGAGTATCGTCATTGGGCTCGCATGCGTCATACTAGCGACGTCGTAAAGTTGTGGAGACTTCGTCATCGAGCGGTTTGGAGGTGTGTGCCGTTCAAACATACATACAAACATATGTATGCGTATGTATGTGTGTATGTATGTATAAAGACTTTTTATGTAGTGATGAAATAAAAGCTACTCAAGCATGATGACTCCAACATAGCCATATTTCGCGCATTTTCTTACATTACTGTACCCGCCCGATTCGGTGTGCGCTGCGTTAGCCATGCAACACGTACTCGCCTGAGGCACATGCTCGAATTTCTAGAATTCCATTCGTTGAAGTTAGTCATTCAGCCAAATGGAGTATCAGGGAATTCGCATTTTTTGCAGTTTTTTGTTTCACCTTGCCCCCAGTTGTGTGCGCAGAGGAACGCGTGAATGCTTTATAAATAAATCAGATTGTGCCTGTCATGTGTCGTTTTGCTGCAGCTTTTGGTTTATCTGTACTACGCGAGAATCTTCGTTTGCGCTTGTGCATTGTCTTTGTAATTGTGGCGTTGTTGCTTTTGTTGTTGGTCGCAATTCCATCAAGTTTATTTTTAAGCAATTAATTTATACGCCTTTGTTTCGAACTTTGTTACTCGTTTGGAAAAAATTGTATTTAAGAACTTACAAAAGTCCATATATAAGTAAATCTCAGTCTGCTCCACCTCTTTTCCGTTCTTAATGTGTCTCATTTTAACAAATTTTGTACACCACTAAATGTCTTATTTAGGCGCTTTTATACTTATGTATAATTTGTGCTCGCTTTCCTTTCCTTCACTTATACCCCTCATTCATTGCTCGTCTGATTTGGCACGTGTGCACACGTAACGATCCATTCGCCATTGATAGTTCTTAGGGTAGATGTACTTTTAGCAATTCTTTAATTCAAAAACAGTTTCGATGCTCTTCTACCCTGTTTGCGGTTATGTTTATGAACGCGTCGCATTGTTATTTGCCATTGAACTGTCCGGTAAGTGAAGGTTCAATTCATAAATGTACAGATCATTCACTTGTGCGCCAGTAGTGAACGGGAAATACAACAAAAAAGTGTGTTCACATTAATTTACACTCTCGCCAGACCAGTCACTGTTCCTTCGTCTTTCATGTTTCAGGTTTTGAAATGTTGAGGTCATTTTAATTAATATATGTATATGAGAGCGCAAGTGATGCCATCATTTTGATATTTGCACTCGGAATTTTTTTTTTGCTGTTATTGTGGCGTTTGTAGGGGAGTAGGTGAGTACTGCAATCGTGTTTTCTGACTGCGAATCTCAACTTGTGTAAATTCTAATAGCTCTACTATAGACAATTTGACATTTATTGTTAGAGAGACCGGTGCTCATTACGAGCGATTGAGCTTTTACTACTTACTCAAACTTCAGCGAGTCCGGAAGATCGATTGCTCCTAGCGATCTTACCCCACAATGGAAATAATTTGCTGTTCAATTTCTGCTGCAATTCCTGTGCAATGTTTTGGATTGCTTAAGATACTGGATTGCCACTCTAATGGCGTCCGAATTTCTCAAGAAAGTTTCTGATATATTATATATTGAGAAGATGACGAACTCGATAACAGCATTTCTGGCGAATTGAAATGTTTCATTGCTGTACTCACAATCATCTTTCTGTTCAAGCAGATCCTAAAGGCTATGCCAAGTGCTTATTGATCTTAGTGAACCTTATCGACTTTTAAAATCTTTGTTGAGATCCAATTATAAATTTAATTGTCAACGAATTTTATGACTCTTTATCCGAATAAGCGACAGGTGCCTCCCGCTTCTGAAGCAGCTGTGAGTGTAACCTCTCCAAGCAGCGCAAAATTATAATTATATTAGCG